TCTTCCAATCCTGCAGTGGTCGCCGGCCTAGCTTTGGAAGAAGAAGCTTCCGGGTCCTCGGAGACGGGCTCATCGGGGAAAGCCTTGCGAGCCTTTTCTCGCTCATCCTTGATAATGGCAAGTCTCCTTTGCTTTGTTGACATTGTTTTCCAAAGAAAAGGTGGAATACTGTCGGGTTTGCTCGATCCTGAATACCTTCGGGCTTTCACACCCCCCGCATCGTAATGAGCACCTCCATCTTTGGGAACAAAGGTGTCCTTGCTGGTCTTCAAATCGATGACTTTGACCATTTCCTCCGATGCGGGTCCCTTTTCGGGGGAATCTTTGATCAGCTTTCCGAGGTTTTCAGCGAGTTCCTGATCATCGATGTCATCCTGGCCTGGCATCTCTGCCGGCAAATCCTCCTCCAAGAGCGGCGCATCCAATGCAGCTGGATCGGGCGTTTCAGGAGCATATTCAAGCCCCGGCATTACGCCATTCATGTGCAATAAGTGCCGTTCGACCATTGGAAAAGAGAATTCACCATCCGGACATTTGATCTGATTTACCCTCAAAGGAGCAATAGGTTGATCATAGTCCTTCTCCATCAAATCTCGCAAAGGAATAACGAGAAATTCGTGACGCCAAAGAAAGTCAGGATGGATGGGATACCCCAGAAATATTCCAGCCCTGGAAGTAGGTTCAAACTTCAAAGGCTTGTTGGGTCGATTCCTCGGGCCGGTCCAAAAGTTGACTTGACAACCAAAGGGCAAATATGGTCCGGGAAAATCTTCTCCAAAACGTACCTTCCATGGTGAATGATAATCTGGGTGGTCCGTGATGTTATGCGCCATGCAATAGTGTTTGGCCGCATGTGGCCAATACGAATGATGCAAACCAGCTTGTTCCAGGTTGGTCCTCGTGCCCTCGATAATCGCCCTGACGTTCCTCTCAGCAATAGCATTAGTTTTGGAAATGTAGTTTGTACTTTGAACATGCTTCCATTCCAATTGATCCGCCGCTTTCACAAGTTCAGGAGCCCGATCACTGTAAAACACGTTCACGGTTTCCCCGGTGCGGACAAAGTGCTTGAATGCCATCACACACTGATGAGAGGTTTTCCGTGCTGCTGGGTAAACATAACGGAAATCAGTGGCAACATCTCGAACCACAAGTGCAACTCTAGATTGATCAATGCCGATTTCACGATCATCTGATGTGATAAGATGGTCCGCCGTAAGGTGATCACCAAACTTCTTGGCCTCGACTTGAGTGGAACCTCCCTTCTGTTTTGATGGATATTTGTACATCTTCGCCCTGTTACAAGTCTCGCAAAAAGGGTTCTTGGGAGTGTGACACATCAAGTGCTGGAGTGAGGTCGCCTCATCACGCAAAGCTGCTTCACCGCGTTCGCGAGGGGCGTCCTTCAAAATAGGCTTTGACACAAAATCGGAAGCGATGACCTTAGGCGCATCTTCGGAGGGATTGTCATGGCACTCTTCAATGACCTCACCTTCCGGTTGGCTAATGGTGTCCTCAAGCAAGAAATCATCGTTCCCCAATTCATCCCCATCATCCTCATTGGTCACAAGCACCTCTTCAACAGCTTCCGGTTCCTCGTCAATGACCAGAACTTCATCCTCAATTTCAATGGGAGCTGATGGTAATGATGTAACCTTTGGAATGCTCTGTGACAAAGCTGGAACAGCATTTTGAGTTGCTGGGGGAATGAATGGAACATTGTCTTTGACCTCGAGCTTGATACGTGAACCATCCGGAAGTCGGAAATAAGGTCTGCTGTGGGCTCTCCAAACGAAATCATATCCGTCCCTGAGGCATCTCATACCCACGGATAACACGGATGGAGCCTTGTCAAGAACATATGGCCGAACAACACTATCGGTCTGTTGGATCTTGACCCTGGCCTGCTTGGTACCGATAATATTCCCATTGGCTGTGGAAAATTTCAGAGGTTGAGACGATTCGTAAATACACCCCATCTCCGCATCGGTTCCCGATAGCAAATCCTGAGAAGCTCCTGTATCTGCGATCCACGGAATGTGAGAAGAATCCATTGTCATACGAGCAACAGCAGCTTTCCCCTTTTTGGGAGAGGTCTCGGGCTTCTCTGGCTCGGCCGTTAGGCCTGCGGGGATGCAGGAATCACAGCCGAAATCAGAGTCGCATTGAAATTTGCAAGGAGTCTTCGTGCCTTTGAGCAAATCCTTCATCATAGCTTCATGCATGGTGCCGATAAGAGTTGCGTCAGAGACGGCTCTCTCATCGAACTTCGGAACATAATCAACAGGAAACTCGTGTGCAAACCTTCTCGACGAGGCAGTGTATGGCCAAAGCTCGCCGTCAGTCTCATAGTTCGAAATGGATGGGTAATCAGAGAATTGCACGCACTTCTTGATACATGGCATACTCTGGAAAACATCGTGAGTCACACTAGGCAAGCAAGGATGCGAGGCGACCGAGTCGAGGGTCGCGGCGCACACCATCGCCTGGAGGAGGCACACCGCAGCATTGCTGCCTTTTGACGATCGCGGAGACTTGAGGGACTGAGACCCCTTCGAGTCTTTCGAATCTTGAGAAGAAGGCCTGCTTCCCTTCTTCTTCTTCTTTTTCTCTCTCGGCGATGTCTTGGGGGTGTCTCCACTAGCGGTCTTCTCGGCCTTTGGGGCTGGAGCTGCCTTGGAAGTTGCGGGGTGCTGCCATGGGCAATCTTTCCCTCTCTCACATCTGTTCGCTTTGAAGAACTTGCACACCTGGGGCTTCGAACCAGGGGGACTCTGCGAACGATACTTCCTTGGCGTCTGGGGTCTAGATCCGCCCTTCTTGCCTTTCCCCTTACCTTTCGGTGCCTTAACATGTTCGAATCGGCAGTCTGAACCATAGGTGCACTGGCCAGTTTGAAATTTCACACATACACCCTTGGGGATTCCAGGAACTGCAGGGTTGTTCGATGGAGTCCTGCCACGTCCCGTTGTGTTGCTTGACATAGCATCCCGCATGTGAACAAGCCTCTTGCGCTCCAAATAATTCCTCGATGCGTCAATCAAGAATTTATAGGAGTGCTTTTCCGTCCCTTCCTCAGCCCGCTCATACTCATTGAGATCATGACTGAGAGGCCGAAACTTTCGAATCTGGCGGTGGAACAGCGCTTCAAGGGTCTTCTCATTTTGCTCATTGCCCATTCCAGCGATGACCGTGTCCCATCTTGTCATGAAGTTCTTGAGGTCCTCGTTGATGAGCTGGACAGAGAGCAAGTCCTCAAAGTCGTAAATTGCACCATGTTTGATGTTCGTGCTGAAGTGCTTGTGAACCATCAAAAGAATTTGGCGCCCCCTCGCGTAGCGTTTCTCCTTTGCTTCTTGTTCTTTGAAAATGTCGACTTGCCGCGCGAGGTCGCCCTCCAAGATATTCGTCAACGCCGATGCCAGCTTTGCATCAAGATGGACAAACATTCCTGAATCACGAAGGACTTCAACAGTTTGACCTGGGATCCAAGTTGCCTCAATCCACTCAAATGCCTTTTCGGGTTGGTCGGAAGTAGCAACAACAGCATCCCTAACTTTGATCCTCCAATTACGGTACTGTTCGGGCTTCGGGAATCGGGGAATCTGAATTCTGTCACCCTCCTTTACACGAACGCGTTCCGCTGTCGGATCGCTCGAATTACCTAAGTGCTTCAGTAGCTTTCGTCGAAAAGATTCATCCGATGCAGTTGAAGTTGATGACGAAGATGACGAGGGAGAAGATGATGGATCTCGTCGCCGGCGTCGGCTACGGTCCTTCTTCTTTTTCTTCTTCTTCTTCTTTTTCTTGTCCTTGTCATTTCCACCATCACCATCATCGCAAGGCCAACCGTCTCCGGTAGCAGCATCGTCCACGGCCCCGGCGGGAACGGATCCGTCTTTGCCGTAGGGGTCGCTCCCGACCTTCGTCCAACTGTGCGAGGAAGCATTCGAAAGTCCGGGTGGAGATGCAGCCAAAGGAACTGTCGGGATAGCCAAGGGGGTAGCTGGTGCCTGCTGAACAGGAGGCGCAGGGGCAGGAGCAGGTTGAGCAGGCGGTTGCTGTTGATTCTGCATCATCTGCTCGACCATAGCCCTTAGCTCTCTGATCTGTCTCTCCTGCTCGCTGATCGTATTGATGGCGTTTTGGTACTTCATCTCGGCTTCTCTTTCTGACTTCATGGTGTTCACACGCTGCTCAGCATTCATCTGAATCTCGCGTCTCATGGCCTCCGATTGGCTTTGGAGTCCGGCAATGATCTCACCATGCCTTGCCTCCGCCATCTGGGCGACCATGGGACCGGTGTCCTGATTCACGAACTGGTTGAATTGGGCATTGTTCTGGGTAGCGTTGATCTGCTGATAGTTCGTCACGTCCTGGTTGATCGTCATCGAAGGATCGAGGTGGACGTTTGCAACATGTTGGTTGAACTGATTCATGGACTGTGGCATAGGGTTTCCCCTTGCGAGATCGGTCTGGGGGTCGTACATGGCGATGTCGCCATGCCGATGCCGATCTGATCCAACAGGTGAAGGAGATCGAGCACCAGACCGCCCAGTCCTCCCACGGTCACTCCGAGATCGAAGTGATTCGGGGCCCTGACTGCTCAGTGCTTGTCCCTTCCTGATGAGCTCCCTGGCCACTTGGGAGTTTGCTCGACTAGTCGGTTCATATTGCGAGGCGTCTTCATCGCCTGCGGGCTCATCAGGTGTGGGACGCACCTCGGTATGGGGTAGTCCAGGGTCGCCATCCATGGCGTACAACTCTGTACAAAGAGCCGCTTACGGCTGATAACCTATAGAACAGGTTAAACAACCGGGAAGGGTCACAAATGAACCCTGTACACAGCGCGCTTTTTCCTTGAGCCATACGCAGTCGTAATGATGAGACTGCGCAAGTGAGACATTCATGCATTGGGGTTTTACATGGTTGATAAATACATCACGTTGCAAACTACAACACTGTTTAAGACAATGTGGGGCAAATGCTGGCACGGGTGCTTTGCAATCAGCTCAGCCCTGAAGGTGGCCAGGCCGTCCACCACATCTTTGATCTGTGTGTCCTCGCGGTCGGGCGTAGCTGCAGATCAGTTGCCTTGCTTCGAAAATGGAGAAAAATAAGTTGATGTTGAAACAAAGTAGAACTAAAGGGGATTATGTTTTCAAAAGAGTGGATTTACACGTGGTTCCAAGAGCTAAGTGGGCATGCTAAAGTTCGATTCTGGCTACAGCCACTTGAGCACAATCGCATTGCCCGAATTCTGCTGCAAGCGTGGGCAGCCGCTTAAGAGCAAAAGGGGCCCAAAGGCAAGATTTGAGCTAAGCCAATGGAGCCTATCTTGGACCCGCCCTGGCCCTTGCAAACCGCACGTTTGCCGCAAACCTTTGCCCATGTCCTTGGGAGGTGGCTTCTGTGGCACCTCTTTCTTGGGCATCGCTTGCTCGGGCTTCCAGCGGCAGAGCTTCGGCGGAGCTTCGGAGAGCTCCAGTCCGGTTTTGCTGCCGCTTCAATGGCCGCCCCTTGAGCCACGGTCTGACAGGCTCCGCAAGTGGAAACACACAGAAGCTCGACTGCCAGCATCTCTTATCACTTGGAAGCGTGTTAGACCCATCTGGTGGGACTCGTGAATTCCAGTTCTTTGGTTGCGTGCCATCTGTCCAAGCAATCTGTGTTGTTCGCATGCTTAGGGGTCCAGGGTTTGGGTAGGCTGCCAAAGACGCAAGAGCCAAAAACAAGTCCTGAAAGCATAGCCCAGGTCACCAGCAATCATCCATGGACGTGAAAAGAGTTCCCCTTGTTCAGTATTCGTTGTCACCCCACCCCCTTCAACCAACATTGGCGCAGAAGGTGGTGATTAAACCCTCCAAAAAAGGAAGGCCTGGGGACGGCCATGGAAGATGGCATCAGAGCTGCCTTCCTATCTTATCTTTTTCCCCGCTTCGCATCGAGCTATATGTCGCAATCGCGACGCCACAGGAACTTGCTGCCATGAACGTGTGGCATTGGGATTTCTCCTCTGCCTGCCCCATTTGCTACTTTCCATGCGGGGAGCTGTGCTTGGCTTCTAGCCCCCTTCGGGTTTGCCTCAAAATAAGGGAGCCGCCTTAGGCAGAGCGTCATTTTTCATTGAACAAAAAAAACACACCAATTGTATTTCGAAACGCTGCAGAAACCACCTGCCACCCGCCCGAGGCACTTCGTTCCTCCAAAGCTGGACGGACCCAATGTCACACTGGCGCATTGCCTTGGGCGTTTGGCGCGTTTCGCGCCCAGGATCGAGGAGGTGGGTGGAAGTAGCAATGCAGCCCTCCTTTGCTGCGCGCCACCATGTGGCAGTGCGTGATGTTACCTCAGAAAAGCCAAAGAGAACGGACCCTGCGGAAGTCGAATTGTCGGTGGTTGCGTGAGAATGTCTACTGGGCCCTTGCCAATGGACATCATCTTGAACACGCCGACAGCACGCCCAAATGCAGCTTCGGAGCGTGTGCAACATCGGTTTGGGCACTGCTTGCAGGGTGGCAAATCGCATCCTGACAAATCGGGCAGGAAAAGGACAGCCTTTCACGAATCTGCGATGTGAGAAACGCGCGCGAACAGGCCTTTGCAACAGCAAAAGCTGCTGAGAACAAAACATATTCAACAACAATGCAACAAAGGCTTGCGCAACTTGCACATGATCATGTCGAAACGTTTTCCACTTGAGCGATGTGGGAGTGTTTGCTTTGCACGCATGAACGCGTCGCTTTTTCTATCTGATGACGGACACTGATGGGTCAACCTTCAAGCCATGACTTCTTGGTCTGAATTGTCATGCCTACTGGGCAGCAGTGATGCCCTCATGGGTCAGCAGCTGAATGCACATTTAGCGCCTGGAACATCACAACGCCCGTAACCAACTTGAAAACTATGGTCAGGACACCCGTCGCATATCCTTGGCCCGCATGGGTAGCAGGGGCCCAACCCACCCTCTCCTGGGTAGGGACACTTGTTCGATGGCTTTACTTCCAGATCCTTGGTGCGTTGCGGAAAGCAGGAAACGGCTGGCGGCGTGGACATGCAAGCCCTGGAAAGCTTTGTTGGTTTTTAGAGACAATGATTGTGAGCATTTGCCAAGAAGTCCATGGCCAAAGCCAACCACTCCCCTAGAGCAATGAAATTCGGCTTCTGGCTCCGAATCGATGGAATGAGCCTGACAACTCTTGCGAATACGGGCCCCTGACTCTAGGCGCTTGCAGCAAGACAGCAGGAGTTCAAATGGCCCGAGTGTGGGCCAATCCCCCGAGATTTTAGCACGCAACACTGCAACCTGAAAGCAGGAAACGATAACATTTGACGGGAGTGCCTTGCGCTCTGATCGCAAAGCCAACCAGGACAAAGCAACCGCAAGCAGAAGCTTTCCATTTCCCAGCGCCGTCTCCAACATGCCAAGGCTCAATGTTGTCAGCTGATGCGTCTGATTTCCTCCTGCCGCCTCTCCTTGCATACAGGCAATTTTCCGCCCAAACCGCAAGGTTGTCAAACATAGAGACCCTGAAAGTGGCATTTTGTGCCGTGCCAGGGCGTCCAAAACGGGGTGGTCCATCTTGACCACCTCCCAGCCGGCGGCTGGTGGCAATCGCCAACAGGCCTGCTGTTCCAAGGCGCTGATGCCTTCAAGGCTGATTCTGGGGTACTATGTTGCACATGCACGTTTGCCTGGCAAATCCGCGCACACACGGAACGCGCATACACACGCGGCTGCTTGAGGTAAACCTACATGTAAAAACAACAAAACAGGCACAGAGCAGACAAACGCAGTATCAATTCATCAAACATTCAACTCCCCACCCTATCCATGGGCCAGGTTTCTCTCGCAGCTGAAGGTCGCTCTCGGCCTAGGGCATGTGGATTGGGCATTCAAGAAGCTACAGCCCACGTGTCAGCCTTTGACTTTCCTGTGCAATCAAAAGTCCCACCAAAGGAAACATGTTCTGATGAGTGCAAGTGGCTAGACGAAGTTGTCAGCACAAAATGGCACCGCCTGTTCCACGCGCAACAGTCCCGCCACAGTCATGGATCAGTACAAGTAGCCCTTGCTGAGGTGCAAACTAACAGGTGCCATTTTGGGCGAGCTGCTCAAAAATTACAAACTTGATTGAGCTCCAAAACGCGCGCGAATTGAGTTCCTTCCCCTTTAGCCCTGCCTGCTCCCTTCCCTGCTGCAGCTTGATGAGCGCCTCTTTGCACTGCTCCGCGCCGAGGTTCTTGTCCTTCGATAGCGCCCAAAACCCTTTGACTTTCCTAGGTTAATGCACGCCGCCTGCAGCTCTCATAAACTGTCCATGAGAGCTGCTGACATAGCTTTTCCGCCGCCAATGCGCGCGGATTGCGGGTGCTAGTATGGCAATGTATGGTTAAGTGAGCTGCCCACACTCTTGCAAAACAATGGGCAAGGAAAAACAATGTCTGTTGGTTTTGGGTAATCTCCTTTCAAGGGATTGTATGCGCTCCTTGCGTTCCAGGGGAAGCCGAGAGTACAAGCCAGGCTCTGCCGATGAACCCTGGCATGTTGAACAACCCCCCTCACGCCAGGAAATCCGTAGTGAAACTCAGAGCTGACCAACCACGGATGACACTCACCCAACGTTGGAAATAACGACAAGGGTGCCCTATGTAAGGCGCTTCATGTAAGGGAAACACTTCCCTGTTAGCCTGCTCCAACAAAAAAAAACTGGACAGAGATTTGTTCATGCGCACACCTCTTCTTACCACTGGGCTAGTCTGAGAGACGCAGGATAAGAGCCTTCCCCTATTAAGCAGGATTCATGCCCTCTACGTCAAGAATTCCTGGACGAAGTTCGCTTCTTTGCCAGCAACATGTCCAGCGCAAGTTTCCCAAAACAGAAGCAAGTAAACGCTCAAGCAACCCGGATCAATCGGGGAATTCAACGAGCGTGCTGCCGTGGAGCCGGGTGGATGACCAAAGCGATCTTTCGGTAAGCTGTCCGAATTTCACTGGCCTGACGGCAAATGCGGGCGATGGCACGTGCCTAGCCTCAGAACCAACCTCTGCCAAAAGGAAGTCAAGGGGACAATGTAAGGACAGCAAACCTAATCATCCGGCTTGATTGAAGTCGGCCAAGCCTTGAGGGGTCCAGCCATGCAGCCATGGAGGTTGCGTGGGATGGAGGATGTGTTTACCCTGCACCTGCTTGCATGGACAGAGAAACGACCGTGACACAAGACAGCCGCAACCAAGCCGGATTCTCTCGCCGGGTTTTTGCGGGCATGCAAGAAGCCGGCAAAATTGGGTTGTACTTCCAGAAGCCAGCTCTGCAGCAAAACCTAAAGGATTAAAAGCGACAACCACTCTTGGTATTTGAAGCGCGTTTGGCTAGCTCCCATTGATTTTGCGGTAGCTGGCTTCTAGGTTTCAGGTCAGTCCGGCCTTACCAACAAAGAACCGGGCAAGTTGGGGATCCGGCAAGTATCCAAACGAGTGTGCCAAAAAGTCATGTTGTCCGATGGGAAATGACCTGCCCAAGGAGATCCCAGGCTGGAGGGGGACTACTGAGAGCTGAGGAGAGGTGCGCCATCTGCCTGGCTCTTAGGGATCCCATCCGCCAGCTGTCCCTTCAAGCAAGATCGAACAACCCATGACGGAGCGTTTCCTGAGAAATTCTAGGGGTCAATTCTTTGGGTTGCCATGTTGTGAAACTGCTTTAACCAACTTGGTCAAATTGCGCATTCTGAGTTGCTCCAAGGTCCAATTATCTACCTCTTCGTTTCCAAGCCATGGCTAAACTCAATCATTTGAGCGGTTTCACCCATAGACATCACTCCAACAGGAAGGACATCCAAAATTAACCATCAACAAGTGAGGTTTAAACTTGCTTACAAGGGGCACGCGGGAATTGGCTGGAAGTCCCGAACACTCGACCCAAGGCAACCGACCTAAACATATCTAAACATATTGAAAAGGGCGAAATGGTAAGGCGAACTCTGGCAATGAAATAGCTCTTCAGCTCTTCCAGATGGATCGTTGGCCTGGCAGTCGGGCTTGAGCCCCAGCATCTCGAAGGGCCGCTCTACCGGTGCCGCCAGGATCCTGATGTGGAGTTTTGGCAAGTTTTGTGATGCGATTTTGTTTCTGGCTTTCAGGTCCAACTGCTAGGTTCTGAGAGAGAGAGAGAGAGGAGCAGCCAAAAAAGGCTGTGTCAAGACGAGTGAGGGCCCAGGATGACTTCGAAAGGGAACGACACACACTTGAACGAAATCCACCAGCTGTGAACATCAAAAACCACAAGCAAAATAATGGCAGCAAAACAACCAGCCTATCTTGGGGCATGCGGTTCAAGTGAACATGCGGCTCACTCCCCTCGCCCTTCCGGACATGGAGAATTAGCGGCTTTCACACACACACACATGCTCCGTTTTGCACTTATACATGGCTGCGTGAGTCGTAGTCCTCCACCCGTGGCTAGCTCTCTTGTTTGCGCGAGTTGTAATCCCTTGCCAACCCACAAAAGACAGCGATCGAGCTTTCTTTTGAAATGAACATGTCTGAGCTCACGAACCAAAACACTTGTCAAGTCGCATACCTTACCTAGGTGGTTCTTGACACTGGAACCCGGGTTTTGAGAGGCAGCCAAGCAGAAACCTACATGGGTCTGCATCTCAGCTAGGGACGCCTTTGGTGAACATCACTGACGTGCGCAACCATGCAGCCGCCAAACATTTTCAAGGGTGCTCCAACTGTCCTTAAGATTGCCGCTGGGAGGTAGAGATTGGAAACATCAAAATATATATTTAGTGAATATTAGCAAATGAAATAGTGAATGGGAATAGTGAATTAAAACAATTGCGAATGGAAATAGTGAATGGGAATAGTGAATGGGAATAGTGAATGGACATACGCCTACATGGCGAGGTGACTAGGAAAAAACAAAAAACACTAACCTGCATTACATTCACTAAATTTCACTAAATTTCACTAAATTTCACTAAATTTCGTAAATCCAATTTAGTGAAAATTAGTGAAATTAGTGAAATTTAGTGAAATTTAATGAAATTTAGCGAAACTAATTAAATTCAATGAAATTTTAGCAAATCCAATTCGGCTTGGTCCTTTTATGAAGGCCCAAAAAAATGTGGAAAAAATCAAAGGACACTTGGCAGCCTGTTGCCTGTTGCCTTTGAACAGTGACAGCAGCCGACAATGACAGCCATTTTCTTCACAGCCTTCGCCTGATAATGGAAACCTTGTTTCTGCAAAGCCGGGCCGGAGAAAAGCTTTGACATGTGACATGTGAGCTCATGTAGAAACTGACAACGTGACCTCAACTCTGACCCGCATCCAGTGAGACAGCCATCTGCTCAGAAATCGTCACCTGGCACGGGGCGCATGAAGTCTGACCAAACTCGCATTCCGAAGTGCAGCAATGAGGAAAACTCCAAATGCCAAGCCAAGTCATCCGCTCCATTTTTTCAACCACCACCAACTCCAATCGGGCAATGAGCACTAGCTGCACTGCCATGCCAGCCACGTATCTGAGGTTTCCGAAATGGAACGATCCGAGATGTTTTTGCTACGTCGTGATGTGACATGTGTGTGTGTGCGTCTCAAGGTCATGTCTCAAGTTGTTGCCCGGTGCGTTCTTTCGGCAACCCTTTCACCTTTCACATTGCTTTCAATGTGGCCCCTCGTGGCAGGCACAGCAAGCAAACGTGCCTCAGCCAACTTTGAGAAAACTCTTTGCTGGCAGCTCTTTCACACACTTGGTGAACGCCAGCCACAAAACAGCATTGTTGCTGGGCCGAAGGGCAAAGTGATCTCCCCCAGCCGCTGCCTCCTGTGCCTCGGTTGCCATCGCCGCCGTCACGCCGGCAGCATCTGTGTGCAGAACCTGCACCACCTCCACAAATCCCGCCACAGCCAACGACGAGACCGGAGTCGGGACGCTCTCAGCCGCCAGCTTCGGCAGGAGCACCATGCCGGCCTGGCAAAAAGTTGCATTGCTTACTATTACTTGAGGGCTCAAAAAGTTGCCAAACCAGTCTCCTCCAAAAAGCTCAACGCATCTCAACGCCAAAGCCACATCAACATGTTATATACTATATAAAGGTCAAGGCGCTGAGTCCTTCGTGAGCGGCATCTCCGGCGCAGTGGCCATGCTGCACATGGGGGCGAGAGTGCTGAAGCTGGCACTCCTGGCGGCTGCCACCACCGTGCGATGATTCCACAGCAGAAAGTCTGGCCGCAGGGTGGCGCTCACGTTGATGCCAAGGTCTTTGAAGATCTGCATCAACGTCTTGCAGCGGAAGCCTGATGTGCCGGGCTTCTCAAACGCCACCTTGCAGGTTGAAGCCGCTGCAGCGGTGACCTCCCACTTCCTCAGTTGCCCAAAGCCCAAAAGGAGCCATGATTGGGTAACCTTTTTGGGGCCATGCGACAGTGATGTGATTGGAGACCAAAGGGACAACAAAAGGTTAAAGGTTGACTTCGTGCAAGCGAGCTTCAGGGCGCGATGGCCTTCCACGCTTGGCGAGCCTCCCTCGAGCTTCATGCAGCCGAACCCAAAGAGCTCAGCACCCGCCTCGATCTTGATCACCTTGTCAGTCGGGTTCTCCAACCAAAGCTGGGGCTGGGCGCCCTCCACACTGCGGTCCTTGGCCCACACAAGGGCATGTCCACGCGGCTGCTGGCACCGCTCTTGCGTCACAAACTTCTGGCCAAAAGCTTCAGCAGTCAACTCATTGTCAGGGGCACTGGGCGGCTGCTCCTCCGAGCTTGCAATCATTGCTCCCCAACTCTCAGCAAACTTCTCGGCCTTCTGCTTCTCCTCCTTGACTTTCTCCACCTGCAGGGGCAAAAGCGGTCGAGGCGAAGGATTCCAACTGCCTGGCAATCAAGGGGGGCCGCTCCAAATGACTCCCAAACTCAAGACTCAAGATGGGGGGGACCCAATGATGCCGGGTTTCAGGCTTCAGGAACCATGGAATTCAATGGAAAAAATACGTGCCAGTATCTATTTACTTGCATCAAAGGCCACCATATGTTAACAACGCGGGTTCCAGTTTTGATGCCCGGCCCCAAGCCTCCTCAAGCACATCCGGGATCTGCTTCAGGATCAGCTTGCCACACTCCGAAAGGGTGCACCGCTTCAGCTGCAACCTGGTCTCCTCAAGCAGGACCTGGGCCTGTTCATTGGATGGCTCTTTTCCCTGCCACTCCGGAGGGGACTCCTTGGTTGGCGTTGATGTTGACCTGCAAAAAGTTCAGCTTGTTGAGGTTCACTGGAAAAAACAATCCGAGTCAAAAATTCCAAGTCAAAATATCAAATCCGATAGCAATCAAGACTCCGGCAGTCTGTTCAAACCACTGATCTGCAAGCTGCCTTCGCGAAGCGCGTTCGCCACCGTCTGAATGGCATAGATGCGGCTCACCGCAATCGCGTGCTCCCGCGTGTCCGCCATGAAGAAGGTGACACGTGGAAGGTGCAGCCCACGTCGATGTCGGCTGATGACAGCCTTCATGGCACCCGAGGCCCAGTCTGGGCTGACAAAAAGCACGCAAATCCGCACCCATCTGATCTCCGGGGGCAGGGACTCCAGGATGCTGGCGAACAATGCCTCCACAGCCCTCTCGCCAAGCTGCACCCGTTGTGTCTCATTCGCTTTTTGCTGCGGGACGCGCTCGCACACCTGGTTCGCTCTTGCAGTCGCCGCTGCGGCTGGCGACACACGTATGCAGTACGGAGTTGCCGGCACATCCTGCAGCCCACCCTTCAAAAGGACGCTCTTCTCCCAGTAGTTGTGCTTATCTTCCATCACCGGGATCGCCACCTGCAGCTCGCGCGTCGTGCGACCATGCAGCAGGTTGTCGCACTGGCAAACAAACCCCATCATGCAGTGCTTCTTCGGCACCATGAGCGAGTCTTCCAGAAGTCGCCTGACCTCCCGCTCATTCCCACACAGCATTTGCCTCTTCTCCATCGCGGTCAAGCAGACCTCAGCAGCCGTCCCCACCATGGGCAGGCCGCCCTCCTCTTCCTCCTCTTCATCTTCCTCCTCATCATCATCCTCCGTCAAAGGCTTGGCCTCCCCTGACGCGCCCCGCTTTGCCCGGTGGTGCCTCCTTGCGCACAAAACCGGCATCGTGACCAGCTTCACCGAGTCCTGATGTCAATCGTTGTTGAAACACACCAATAATCTCAGACCCTCCAACGCCGACTAGAACCAAAGCTCAAGCCTCAAGCCATGCAACACTCGTCGTTGCCTCGTTGCCTTTGTTGAGCATCAACGTCAACAGCAACATCAAAAAAAACTGAGTGCCCCTGTAAAGCCCGAAGCCAAGCGTCTGGGAAGACCAATGAAGTCTCAATGCCAACATCCAGCGAAGACTTCTTCGCTGCCCCCAGCGAGCGGAGGTCCAAGACAAAGAGCTTGGCCACGGCCGAGGCGCTTTCGCTTTCTTGCCCAGCCCGCTCCCGGAAGAAAGCATCAGACTGAGCAAGGACGTCTTGGGCCACCGATTGCACCCTGTCCTTCCGCTGACTTTCCACTGACACAACATGTGCACTCATAGTCATAGATTCCCCTCACAAAAAAACATAACCAGAGCGAGCGGGGGGGACAAGGGACAAGGGAAACTAAGAAATATATTCTTGAGCAATGGAAGCTGTCCTTAGCCGCTTTGATCTGGCAGATCTTGGCAAACTTTGAGCAGTAGTCCGTAGCTGCCGCCCAGTCCACCTTATGCTTCTTCTTCTCGTGGGAGACCTTGTCAGCTTCCCAGCGCGCCCTTTTGTCTGCATGCCCTTCTCGCAAACGCTCGTAGATGCGCATGTCCTGGCTGAGGTCAACTGCGAAGCTCTCCACAGCTATCTGCTTCTGCTTCTCCTGTAGCTCTGACATCTGAGCACCGTCAGACCCGACCATGCAAACATCAGAGGTGGAATCGCCAGCCGCGGCTTGAGCAAGCACCTGCTTGATGCTGGGGAACTTGTCTGCTGCCCACCCTGCAAACTGGCTCATCTGAAAGCCCTCGCTTGCCTCTGATGAAAATTCGGCCAGCGCCGCGTCGAAAAAAAAATCGAACTTGTTCTC